ACAATAACGGGCTGTCAGACATAACTAAAACGACAGGCAGCCGGACATATCGTCCATTAATGGCAGTCAGAAATATCTACAATTATGGGCAGTTAGACATAATTAGAATGATGGTCAGTCAGAAGACATACAAATCAAATAGCTCAGTCTTAGACATTGTTATTATAACATGTTGTGTGCTTAATTTTTTTAAAAAAAAACAAAGAATTTTAAAATGTTTTCTTGTGAGTTTAAAGAAATCGATGTTTATTTTTGACAATATTTCTTTGAAGAGGAGACTGGTCTCTTATGATATCAAAGCATATCATTATTGTTCATAAAGATAAGAAAACAGAAACAATATTTCTCAAGGGTCATTTACTATTGCAAAATAAAAACGGAAACAATACTTCTCTAGGGACATGTAACATAGCAAAATAAAATAGAACACTACCCTTCAGGGGCTTTGTGCAATATTAAAATGAAATAGAACACTACCCCTCAAAGGTCATGTGATATAGCAACATAAAATGGAACACTACTTCTCAAGGGACATGACCTATAGAAAATAACATAGAATGGTATTTCTCTATGGCTATTTGCTATAGCAACAAAGAAACCCCGAGTGGCCGTGTGGTCTAAAGCGCTGACCGTTACCGATCATTGCCATCTCACATCTGTCTGCGTGAATTCGAGTCCAGACTTGGCTAACGTGGGTAAGTGAGAGAGCCTGCCAGTAGCTTCTCGTGGGTCGGTGGTTCTTCCCTGTGTTTTCCAGGGTTCTTCCTCCACCATTAATACTGGCCGCCATTTATAGCATATCTTGTGTTGAAAAATGGCGTTAAACCCTACAACAACTATTTTAACATAAAATGGAACACTGCTTCTCAAGGGACATGAGCTAAAGCAAAATGACAGAACACTACCTCTCTATGGATATTTGTTATAGCAACATAAAATAAAATACTGCCCCTCAAGGGTCATGTGCTATAAAAAAATAACATGGAACACTACCCCACAATGGTGATGTGCTATAACAAACAAAACATTACCTTCAAATGGTTGTGTACTATCATGAAATAAATAAAATATTAAATGACTATATGCAAAATAAAATAGAACACTACATCTGAAAGGCCATATCTTATAGCAAAGTGAAATAGAACACTACCTTTCAATGGTCGTGTGATACAGCAAAATAAATTGAAATTCTAAGTCCCAATGGTCGTGAGATATTGCAAACAAACAAAAGAAATACACGAATTTCTTAATAAAAAACAGGTTCAAAACGACCAGATAATATGTGGGATATGTTTTAATGACAAATTATCCTATTTTAAGTTTTTGAAGTTTTGTGAACTTTTGTTTAAAATATTTAATTTATATTGCAGAATTTACAAGCTTATCGTAGAAATGGTCACCTTGTACCAATGTAATATCCAAAACAAAAGTTTGTGTAAAACAATTCAGTTGGTATGGTATCTATTTGGCATGGAAAGTAACGCAAATTAAACTAATTAAATTAAGACACGAAGATATAATAATAATATCGTCATCAGCCATCAATCGAAATGAATGTTTCTATATTCCACGCCAAGATTAGTCTAAATTCAATTTGTTGTGGTAAATGAAAGGAAACGTTACAAGGAGAATCCTATTCAAATAGCAAATAGAAAATATATTCATGCCAAGAAGAATCGATTTCTTAAGAAAACAATCATGTCTTCTTGTCAGTCATGAAAAGTGTCAATTTAAGAGGTATAAGTTAGAAAAAAGGCAGACCGCGACCTATTTTTCTTTTTGTATCTCTTTCTAATTTAACTTACAACTTCATCCTGAGATTATATCAAGAATAAAAGTTTAAAAATACCGAACGTGTTCGGTGGATTGGGTTTTACATTCACCGATTTCTTTATTATATCTTGCGTTTTTGTTATGAAACGTGAGTTCATTATTGTATATACTGATTTGCTATTTGTTACGATTCTATGGTCTTACTAAGAAAAATGAAAGAGCTAAAACCAAAACAGTTTTTAAAATTCAACAAATAATTAGGTTCTCTTGTAGACAAGATGAAAATTAAATAGAAATTACAGTATAGTGAATTAAAATCCAAATTGTCCTTAACGTTGTATCACAAGTCCAAAAGTATACAGTCTTACGAATGAAGTCCAGAGTTTCGAGTAAATTCCAATCTTGCAATTAACGATTTACTAATTGTCTGGGATGTGGTGATGTGCTAACCTTCTTGCTGTATCACAAGAATATAAGCCAAACTGTCTCTAAACTAATTCATAATAATCACAAAGAAGTAATTTAGTCCGGAATGTATCATTTAGTACTGTGATTCCAGTAAATAATGTAAATAAAAAAATCCTCTCAAATGAAAGCTGAACACTGTTATAAGACTAATTCCTCTTTGGATAGTAATGTATGAATAAACAATCTCTGTCTACTTCACCCTTACATAAAAAGCTAAGTCACAGTATGAGAATCCAAATGATGGTCAAAAGTTCATTTC